TAATAATAATAATAATAATAATAATAATAATAATAATAATAATAATAATAATAATAATAATAATAATAATAATAATAATAATAATAATAATAATAATAATAATAATAATAATAATAATAATAATAATAATAATAATAATAATAATAATAATAATAATAATAATAATAATAATAATAATAATAATAATAATAATAATAATAATAATAATAATAATAATAATAATAATAATAATAATAATAATAATAATAATAATAATAATAATAATAATAATAATAATAATAATAATAATAATAATAATAATAATAATAATAATAATAATAATAATAATAATAATAATAATAATAATAATAATAATAATAATAATAATAATAATAATAATAATAATAATAATAATAATATTAATAACAATAATAATCGTGATTAGTGTAAACGTATATTTTTAAATTAACTTCAATCCCTTGAACAATTTTCAATTTAAAAATGCAATTAAAAAGTACTTAAATGTTTGTCTTGCTATTGTTTGTCATTTTTTATTATTTTGTAATTTTAGCTAACCTTATCCCTATTATTTAAAGTAAACCAGACTTATCTTATACTTTTTTATAATGCTTAACAGGACGAATAAACATTATTAATATTATTATTACAATAAGTAAATTTAACTTCTCGTTTTTCTTTAAGTTTTTCAGTGTGATATTAGGTATTATATAAAACTTTCAAAGTTATAGGTATTAGTTCTAAGTTTTAAATTGTTTAAAAATATCTTTTTACTGTTCTGTGATACTAGGTATTAACAATATATTTAACAGGGTTCGTACTAATTGAATTAAGATATAGTTTTTTAGAGTGTTATATTAAGTTTTGTTGTTGTTGTTTGTTGTTTAAATAAAAAGGAGGCGTTGGACGGCTGAAAAAAAATTTACTTGACTAAGCCGATCATTAAAATTTAGTTGACAGAGATTTAGACTGAATAATTTGAAATTTTTGTAAATCAGACATCACAATATTTAAATTTCACATATACAATACATTATTCCTAGTTAGCAATTACTAAAAACAAAAATTAAATTGTTCAGGGAAAATTGATTTACTTAGTCAGGTAAATTAATACCTACATTTTAGTATTAGCCCTGTTTTTTAAATTAAAAACAGATAATATAGGTATTATGATTTGATGTTAAATTTTAAATTGTTTCAAATTTAAATGTAGATGTTACATTTTTATATCAAATTAATGGCAAATATAAACTATTTTATATGTATTCACTGAAAAATTAACTATCTGTTGTTATTATTATTAGAGATATTTAAAACAATTGTGGTATTTATAGGTATGTTTTTATGTGTTGTTTTTAATTATTTGAAAATGTTCGTTGTGTTTTTTGAAAATTGTATCCAGTTTATTGTTAATAAAATAATTGTTATCCTACATTTTTATTCTGCATTAATTTTGTGTGTGTTTATTGTGAATATGATGTTTAATATAATGTAATGACATAGTTACCTATTCCAAATAAAATAAACTTATTACAAATGTTTTTATTTTTCATTTAAAACAAGTGACATTTTCCGTTTTTCAGCATTTACTTACAATAAAAATTCATTTTACTTGTTGATTGTTTCAATTATTGTAAGTAAAAGCTGTAAAATAGGAAAATGTTCCTTGAAATTACTTCAAATTTCATAAATTTTGAAGCCCGCCATTTTTTAAATCGCTTTACTTAGTAGTTTTCTACTTTACCGACTGTACCGAATTATAGTTCATCATAACGCGCTCAGCGCGCCACTGTCGAGGTCAAACAAACTTGTTACCAACTATTTACAGGGGAACTGGCTACCCTGGGGTGATTTGATTTTTCGCTGTATTACAAGATCAACTTTAATGAAAGTTCGAAGAGCAATTGTAGATATGATTAATTCGGGCATAGCTTAAAATGTGAGATTGTTTAAACATTTGCTGTGAATATACGCTTTTTTAAATAATTGTTCGTTTATAATAAATAAATAGTTATTGCTTTTATAACTTTTTTATACTTTCCTTAAGAATTAGATACATTTCCGATAAAAATCAAGTAGGCAAACCCTACATTTTCTGAAAGCTCATGGTATGGGCTATCCTGATATGGCCTCATTTACAGGGTGTTCCATTTGAAAAAACTGAGAAAAAAGTGGTCCCGAGTTTTGGTTGCCCCTGTATGGGAAAAGCGCCATTCGGTAAAATTATGAATAGGAAATGAAAATACACTATTTTCGAGAATATTCGGCAGAAAAAAAATGTATTCCAAATTATTGATTGAGAGATATTTGATGTTGAATAAACTCATTTTGTTACCTAAATCCCACCATAAATTCCTAACCACCCAGTATAAACCCATACAACCCTATATTTTTGAGAAACACTCTTCCAAAGAAATTTAATCGAGTAAAAATATATAGGGTGTTTCCTTTAAAAAAAAACATTACTTCGATAACTCATACATTTATCGGACACCCTGTATATTGGTAGTTATTTTTGGAACGTAGCTTTCAATGCCCTCTACAACTTTTATTTAAAGCATTTTTTCCTATCTCATATAGGGAAGCAGCTATCGTTCACCCACGCATCGTTGATACAACCTGTATACAGTGAGGATGAAAATTGTACCCTCCTCTATTTTAACTTCTAAATGAAAAAGGATAATGACAAAACAAAAACGAGGTAAAACTCAAGAGATATTGGGGTCTATTCTGTAACAATTCCTGTATATTTAACGGCCTTTAAAAATATTGGCGGCCTTTAAAATATTTTCGTATTCGTTAATTTACTTCTGTCATTACTTAAATAGATTTCTTTAAGATAGTTCTTTAATGTATTTTAAAGATCCGTTTAAATAATGACAGAAGTAAAGAAGAAAATATTTTTAAAGGCCGTTAAATATAAAGGAATTGTTACAGAATAGACCCCATTATATTTTTGTTATAACGAGATGCACTTTACTTGAGACACGTAAGATAGAGGGAGTTACAAGCTTTAAATTTTCTAATGGAAAGTAGGGTCATGTGATACCTCATTTGAAAGATATTTTCTATATTTTTACGTTCATGTAAACAGATTTAGGTTTTTATGTTTTTAGAGAAATTACATTAAATAAATTCATAAAGTAAGTTAAATTCTATTTTTTTTTTTATTTACGGCTTCAACCTCAAAGGATCATTACCAGAAATATAATACCTTATAAATGCTGTTTTTTACAATAGTATACAATGGATAATTAACATTTTGGCTAGTACAGAGTAAATGTCAGTATCTTTTATAAATTTAAGTAATTTTTTACTGTTAAAAGGATTTAACACGGCACAAATGGAAATTTTTTGTAGCTGGTACTTTGTTCTTATACACACATGTTTTGGGCCTTTACTAATAAGTTACGTTCTTGATAACTCTCGTATTAACAATTATTATTTATTACTAAGGAAACGCTTCTTGTATTTACTAAAATAAATAAATTAAGAATATCAAAGGTGATTTAAAAACCACTTGACGTATTAAATTTTTCATAACTTCTTGACAAAAAAAGCTTATTAAGAAATTATCACATTTCTAGGATTATTGCGGCACACGAGGATTATCAAGAATGTAATTTTTGTAAAAACAAAAAAAATCTAAAACTGTTTGCTTGGACGTAAATATAATCAAAATATCTTTCAATTGGGGTATTACATGATACAAATAAATGACTGCCTTTATTTTACACGATAATAGGGATCTTATTGATGTCTCAATACTATAGAAGTATCGATATTAAATAATAAAAGTATCGATATTTAGGCACTGATACCATTGGTATGCACATTAAAAAATTGCACAAAGTACAAAGTCAATGGAACAACCACATGCACCGACTAGAAATGTGATGTGTTAATACTGTCAGTCATATATTTATCTTTCACCTTCAACGGTCATTTCAAATCTCTCCGCAGTATCCCGCAATGAGTTTTTGTTTCCTGATGCAAACCTTGAACTAACTATAATTTTGTTTGACAAAACAAACAATAAATTCTGATACCACAAAAATGATAGCACATGTGCTTCAGCACTTATTTGCCTTCTACCTCTATGGTTATGGTTTTTAAAATAGTTCTACTCCTCAAATCTTTCAATAAGGGTACTTGCCGTTTCTTGTGACAAGCGAAAATTTGTTTTGAACTAAAACAAAATAACGTTATAAAACATTATCTCTGGTTATATACTTTTGCTCATGTCAATAAATTTTGGTATCTAGCTATAGCTATTCCCTAACCTGCTGGTCGTTCATTTTTCTCAAAACATCAATTAAATAATTAATAATTTTTGGAATTGATGTTCTATTATGAACTAGTGCTTCAACAACTTCAAAATCGCTGTCGTCCGATTGCCGCCATTTTCTGCACTGCACTCAAAATTATCTTTCAAGCTGGTGCCAAAATAGTTGCCCCGAGTGCAAAAATGAATGCACCAGTTTACCAATGGTACATACAACACCAAACCAGTGCGACCAATGGTACACAACGTCTTGCACTCGGTGTGCACTGGTGCTGCCAATAGTATACGCTATGAATTACCAATACTATCGCCATAACGATACTTAGAAGCAAGTATCGTATCGCTATGTGTGTGGTCAGGAATAATAAGGTTTGTTCAAATATGTGTATCAAAATATTTTAGTTTTCGCATGTAGTGAAACTTGGTAATATGATTAAGCGTTACCACTGTTATTTTTGTTATTTAATTATAAGGTAAATTGCCAATTATTGACACTATAACTTGTACCAAACTTTTGTAAAAAAAGAGATGTTAAAACACTCAACTTAAAAACAAACAAAAAATACTATAAAATCACTAAATCAACTTAACATTTAACTGTACTAAAAATATAACTAAAACTAAATATATCGGCTAGTGGATCTGAATTTTTTAAAGGTTTTAAACATGTAAATAATAAATTTGCATCCATTCTGAAATTTTGAGAGTGAATAATTACCATTGTTTTGTAAACTTCAAGCTTCAATTCGGCCAATTTTTCTTCATGTTTTGCCGTTTTAATTTCCAACTACATCTTTACTTTTACCAATTCCCGCTCTTCGGATATTTTACCCAGCTCTTCTTCAGCCACCCTTTTTTTCAGAAGAAAAAGTTCTTTCTCTTGATGAATAGATTGGGTAAGCTTCCGAGTCCAAAGCTTTTCAATTAGCACTGATTCTGCAAATTTTGTATCATTGTGTGGCAATCTACCTACAGTAGGAGGGCTAACTGAAACTGATATGTTTAAATTTTAATAATCGAATAAGTAACAAGATTATGGTAAACTTACTACTGGGAACGGCCGCTTCTGTAATTGATAGTAGTCTTCCATCTAGCACGTCCAAGTCTAAATTTTCATCAAACACAGCCGATTCTATACTTTCATCTAATAAAAAAAAGTGGTGCTTGCATTTATGATTTGTAAATACACACCCCACAAAAATTATCTCATCACTAATAGTTTTCAAAAATTTGGAGTTTTTTTTTGAACCGTCTGATTGATTTGGATATTCTTTTTTGGAAGATAAGTTGATTCTTCAGGAATAGTAATCTCTGTGATTCTTTAAATAAAATTTAATTTTAGAGTGTAATACCGGATTTTACAATAATATAGGTTTTTGGTTGGAAAATTCGTAACACCCTGTGCAGTGTACCAGCAATAATAGCATGTTATAATTATTAGCCTACTTTAGCCTCATTTTTCGCAAAATTTTATTTTTTTGATTGTTTTATTATCTCTATTAGAGGAGAAATACAGTTTTTTAGCACTGCCTGTTTTTATAAGCATACATTGCAAACATTTTAGTGATGCGATAATTTTTGTGGAGTGTATATAACCTACCATTATTGTGTAAATAAGTATCATTATACACAGCACTGGTACAAGTTCTGGCTAGCCCTTGTTCTAGAAAAGAAATATCTATGTATTTGAGTACATACAGATATAATATTTAATAATATTGAAAGTATCCAAACATACCTCGTTCAAACACAGCAGTACTATCAAAAGGACAGCTAGCCACAACATCTAAATTTGGGACAGCCTCTTCCACAACTTGAAGGACTGGATCAAATGCTGGCTTTTTTGGTGGACCACCCCCAGTAGCCAGCATGCTGTGCCGTAGTTCTGTAGACTGTTTTCGTTTTCTAAAAATATATAACCCTGTATGATGAAAATAATATTAATTTTTATAAATACCTTTGCTTCAAGTTCGACCATAATTTTTTAAGTTGATCTACGCTTCGCAAAACAAATATGTTGGGCTGGGAATTCATAGCTGCTGGCTAATAATTCCCAGGCCTTATTTTTGTCACCCACTGTTGCCCCATCTGTCCTTTTATTTTCAATAATCCTACTGTTTTCTTTAACGAGCTCGGCTAGCAAGATTTTTTCCTGTTCTGTATATACCAGTTTGTTGTTCATCTACAAATTCAAATTGTACACACTACGTTTACATACATCGATGGCTCAATCAAATACTACCACAACTAAAATAGTATTATTTCGAGAAATTTAATTTTAAAGTTTTGTAAGTTTCTATTATGAATATTTTGTTTTTGACATAAAATCTTTATTTTTTATTTAGAAGCTACGACATTTTGCTATTAAAATTAACGATTACGATTATAAAAGCACCCTAACTCGAGTTATCGCATAGTTTGTAAAAAAATTGCCATAGTTTGTAAAAAATTGGGTATTTTTGCAGAAAATAACTAGAATTAGGACAGTTTTAGCTAGATTTTAAATGAGTTTCGTGTATCTCTAAGAATATTTTTGTTTGTGGCGATATTTAAAACAAAAACTTAATGATATTTTGCATCCAGTAAAACAAAAATGTAATTTTCTTTGTTTTTTGACTTGTGGCGGTTTTTGATTGAGCCATCGACATATTATATACGATAAATTTTTAAAGATATATTTTAAATGTGTGTATAATTCAGGTGTAATTTTATGACTTACTGTAAATTGTTTAAAAAAAAATAAATAAATAAGACCACCTAAAATGGCTCCTCACTTGCTCACAGAAACTTGCTCGTGAAAAATGGAGTATCTGTATAGTAACATTTTCCGCGAAAATTCAAAAATTAAAGCTGTTATTTGGAATTATTGCCGATTTGTTACTACTCACCTCTAAATTCCAGTGTAACACCGGAACCATCTGGGACTTTAGAAACGTTGTAACCGAACTTCGATTTTTGTTCAAGAACGACTTACCCAAGCTCGACTCAGCCAAGTTCTGTTTATAAATACGGGCCCTAGTGTAATAATATTTTAATCACTAAAAATAAATTTGAAAAATATTGTGTTGTAGATTTTCTTTGTGCTGGATTATAATTCTAGTAAAAATCTCAGGAATTTTAGAAGCTAAAGTTAATAATACAGAATTGAATGAAGAAGAATATATAACATCTGAAATTATATCTTTTTCTTTCATAGCAGAATATCATGCTAAAAAACATTGTTCTGTATAAGCTGAACATCCATTATTAAGTATCAAATTTGTAAACATCAAAATAAATGTTATTATTTATTTAGTAAAACAAAGTAAGTAAAAATTAACTAAAAATAGGTTCAGTTATTATTTATTTAAAAAACAAAGTAAGTAAATTCAACAAAAAATAGGTACAACGATTTAAACGAGCATATTTTTCATTTTCTTTATAAATATTATTTTCTTTAATAATAATTAAACAAGTAAATTTATAATCTACAAAACATAATTAAAATTAAAAATTACTGATTTTGAAATAAAATTCTTTTTAGGTACACAAAAGATTTGAATATCTAAAATATTTTTTATTTAATTCAGCATTGACTTAAGCAGTTTTAGGAAGTGGTGATCCAGATACACTATTAACTTTATTTGGGTTAAAGAACACTGTGGCCTCACTGGAAATGAAATTGTTGACCAAGAAGCTAAAGCTGCCTGTAGGATCGGTGTATATACCAAAGTCTCGTCATTGCCTGATATCGTCAATGCATATAAGAAAAACATAAGAAACAGATGGATAAGCCAATACCATGATGTTTCTAAAAATTCAAATAGTCATTATTTTCAACTTCATAGGCAACTTCCTAATAATATTCCTCATCTCAATAATTTTGGTTTACCCAAAAATATACTTCTATTCTATCACGTCTCAAATTAAATGATGAACGGTTTCCTGCCCATCTACATAAAATAAAAATCATACTCTCCCACTTGCACTTGCAATATTACGTCGGTTGAAGACGCCAATCACCTTTTCTGTAAATGTCAAAATTATGCATTACAAACATCTGGGCTATATAAATCATCAATCTCTCTCAATTTTCCTCTACCAGTAAATTTGACATCCCTTCTGGCAAGCACCGATAAACATATCCTCGATATTTTAATTAAAATTATACGCGATACTAAGCTAGATATTTGAGACTACTTCTCTTATTTCTTTCTTTTCTGTATTCCGTTTTTATTATTTAAAGATTCTCTGGCAAATGGACACCGTCCGAAGCCATATCACACACACACACACACGCGCGCGCGCTCACACACACACACACACACGCACACGCACGCACACGCACGCACCCACACACACACACACACACACACACACACACACACACACAATAATAATAATAATAATTTAAGCAATAAAAAGGTTAAGTACAATGATGATATTAAAAAGTAGATTTTTTACTTTTTTTAAATTGTCCCAGTACCTACCCATTATTGTTCTAGCACGATATATAAATGTACATTGTGTGATATATCCCCAGCAATTTAAACACATTCGTAATTGCTCATTCTTGCCTCTTCTCTTGTAGATTCCGTACCCATTTTTCTTATTTTTAGTTAAGTTTGCACTGCTCTTTTATTTTTCCTTTTCCACAGCTTTAATTCTACAATACTGTAACGCTACAATATGGATCAATTTTAGTGATTTATATTTACTGTCGCTATTTAATTTCTACTCTTATATTATTCCTATTAGAATTAAGTATTACAGGCCTTAAGATGTCTGTGTAAGGCGGAAACTAATCGCTCCTGTATTTATTTATAATAGAATTGATGTATTAATTTTGAGGTTTTATTCTTTAGTTGAAAAAATTAGACATTTTTACAGTTCCTTCTTGATATCTTGTGACAAATCTGGCAGCGTGGAGTCTCGCTCATCTTCCTAAAGCTCTGAGAACCCAAATTCGATAGTCATCTGATCTTAGGTCAATTCTGGTCTCATCCTAAAAAACAACATTTTGACAATTCTCAATTGTCCAGTTTTGGTGATGAAGGCACCAATTTAGCCGGTCAATTTTATTTTGCCAGGGTAACAGTGGAACCCGTAAATCTCTCCTACTGTACAACCCTCGAGCGCGAAGTCTTTTTCTTAGAGTTTCAACTGAAACGTTTACACCTGTAGCGTCCAGAAGTTGTCGTTGTAACTCTGGATGAGCAACACTGGGATATTTTCTAGCACAATTTGGCACACAAAGCAGTCCTGGTATTTGGTTGTGGCTCTTGGACGACTTTGTCTGGGCCTGTTCCCTGTTCCAAGTAACTTTCATATCTTTTCGATTCAACACTGGGTATCGCCTACTACCTCTGCTTTGTCTCATTCGGACATTCCTTGTTCAAGGAGAGCATTGGACCTAAATAAAATTACCAGATGATCGTGATTTTACTTCTGAACACAAAATTCACAAGATAATAAATCGCAGCAGTCGTTTCTTCTTTATTATCATGTTTGTTTTGAACAAAAAGCCTTATCTTAAAGTTGGATACCAAATTTTTTCTTTACAAAAAGTTTATTCAGAAATACACAGTGATTTCATATAAGTTTGGTTGTGTGTACATTGGTAGGCCTCTAACGTTTGTAATGTTTGTTGTGCATGCGATTGTGGACCATATTAACCCTCGACAAATCTCTAAACTAAGACAATTACCGACTTCAAAGATGCCACAACCCCTTAATAATGCCTCTCTGGCAAGGAGTGAGGGCTGCTATGTTTAGCCTAATCATAATAATAAACGACTACGTGTAAAATAGGTGAAAGTATCACCATTGGCCCAGCAGGCAACTGCAAAAGCCGACTCAAAACACTCGGGAATTGTGTTTTTATTTTATATTTTGTTGTACATATTTATAAATTTTTAGAACATGTAAATAAAGTTTTCTAATATATTATCATGCGAACATTGTTTTTGTAAACAAGGCGTATTTATCCCAATCAGAGATAACAGATCCCAATACATGATCGAATGTTTCTTTCTACTAATATGCTCGTAAAATGCTTTACAAAATCCAGACGACAGATGAAAAGAAGACAAAGAGCCGCAGTAAAAAAAACAAACAAAAATTGAAAAGTATTTTTTCTATATTAACATACAATATTATGTATTATAGTGATAATAACTAAAATTACGTGTCCTTTTCATCAGAAAATTAATGATGTTGCCTTAATTATTTATTTCGGTACAAGTTACAAATGGGGGTAAAATACATTCACATTTTGCTTTCCTTTCTTTGTCCCAAACAGTTAATTTAGTTTTGAATCCTTCGCCCAATTTTAATAACGTTTTTCCAAATTTACATCTTAAATCTAAAAAAAAAAATTGTACATTAAGTAATATTATCTAACAAGTATGGACAATTAAAAAATAACCATTAGCTGCGAGTAGATAATTTGAGAGGCAAGGCGCCTAATTGAGATAGCTCCTGTTTTTTTATGTGTACCTATTAGCATTAGATTTGTTAAGACAGACCAGTTGAAGCGGGTAGTCATAGTTTGTTAACTATGTAGAAAACTTTCTATGATTTAGTGCCCAAAAACTTTTTTTTAATGGTTTACGAGCTCCCAAAAACAGGCAAGGTAATAGCTATTTGTGTATTTAGAGCGGAAAGTGCTACTTTGCCGCGACGCGTAGCGGAGTGCGGCAATTTAGCGTAAGCTGCAAATAGCTTTTCGCTCGAATTACACACAAGATTTTTTATATGATCACACGATATTAAAAGTATATAGTTTTATTTTGCCGAATTCAAATCATACTACGATAATTTGCCAGACACGGCTAACTTGACTAGCAAACGAAAAGTATGTTGTGTATATTGTGTTGCCTGCTTACTCTAGGAATAATTTTATGATACGCATAAAAAATATTTGTTAGTAAGTACATCTTAAAATTACTTACAAGATCATGGTTAGAATACTCAAATCGCAAATTAATGGCTCATTTAATTTTACAAACAAAAAAATCAAATTTAAAAAAAATAATAATAACTGGTGAGAACCGAACTCACGACCATCAGGTTCAAAGACAAACGTGCTAGGCTCTACACCAACAAGACATGTAAAATATGAGTGTTAAAAACAGGGTAATTTATTTTTAATATTTTAATTATCATTTAAATATTAAGGATAATGAGGTTGAGTATTAAATGTTCAACTAAAA